CCATGGTACCAGCAGCAATAGGCCCTCAGGGTGCTCATGGCCCCCACAGGCACGGCTGCCTAGCAGTGTGGAATGCCAGTCAGTTCGAAGAGCTGCACTTGGTGGCAAGGAGCAGAGCCAGGCTGGCCTGCCTCTATCACGTGGAGCTCCCTGTGACTCGCATGCTGTTCGCATGCCACCGGGGCAGGGGAGTCCTGCATGAAGCCAGCAGCCTTGGCCTGCAGGAAGCAGGGCTCCCCACCACTTCTGGTGGAGTCCTGGGAGCTGCACCTGGCAGCAGGGAGCGGGCAACGTCCCCTGGGAGCTGCAGCAGTGATCCTGCCCAGAATCTCTGCATGCCGGCCAGGGCCCTCCAGCGCATTAGGGTGAGTGTGAAGCACACGGGTTAGTTGAGGCACAATTAATTGGTAGGCACCCACAGGCTGGATGAAACTGCCTCGACCGTATTTTACCTGCCCCTGTTTTAAAGTAAGTTAAGGTGTTCGCAGATTTGCTAATTCATTTGCCTTGCTTAATCCTCCCCAGTAAAACAGTGTTAACTCTTTTTTATTTGCACTTTCTAGATCCTGACAAGCCACTGCAAAAACTATACCTCTTGCTGCAAGACAGTGGCTCCAAATGGAACAACACACAAGCTGCACAAGATGATTCGTTTTACAAAATAAAACATATTCCATATTTTGACTTCCTGTTTTTAGAGTGAAATACCACTTCCTATGATTGTTTAATACAATGAAAAACTGCTCCTCAAGAGCCATTCATAGGGATGCCTTGTGCCATGCTCGTTATTACAGTGGGATCTCTGTCACCTGCTGAAGGCATTTATTCTGCAGTGCTTCCTGATACTAACCCACTTAAAAGTTTGGAGCTATTCATAGCACTGCACACCTCCATCACAGCATCCCAAATGGGCTGAGACTATACTGTATTGGTTTGAAATAGTAGTTAGAGAGTGTAGGTTCTCAAATAATAGTGATTATGTTTTTGAACAGAAAAATAAGCACTCATTGATGTGCTACATGCATTCAGAGCTTATCCCTCAAAACTAAGGGCAATCTTAACTGGCAGCACTCAGGCTGTCTCCGATGCTTAATGAATTCACCTAAGGGTCCCAGTCCAGGTACTACTCCCCACTGCTCTTGAGTGTGCTGCTGCTGCCCCCAAATCCCTAGGCTTCCCCTCCTTCCAGTTTATGCTTCTCACCCTCAGCCTGTGGGTACGGTAGGGTGGGGGGTAGCAGGGCTGAGGGAGCCCATAGGTGCCTTGGCGAGGGCAGGGGGCATGGAAAGGTACCCTGTGTACTGTGGTGTGGTACAGGGACATTAGCAAAGTAAAGTGAGTTTATGCTTCCTGTGTAGTGCAGTGGGGTTCTTGCAGTGTAGCACAGCAGCACGTGGCCCAGGGGGTGTGCAGCCTGCTTGGCATAGCGTGGCTGGGGAATTTGCAGCCCCCAAGCCCTCAAGTTGGATACCTCTTATTTAAAAGATCCCTTGGCCAAATCAGTATTGTGACCAGCTGAGGTCTGCACTACAATTCTCTTCCATAGCTCATGTTTCTAGGAGCCAGAAGTAAAGCTTCAGAGTGAGGATATGCCAAGAAAATTGTCCCCCTGAAGCTTCAACTTGATCTTAACCTTGTTATTTGATGCTCTCTAAGCTTAGATGCAGCTGAGAACATGTAGCTGCTGGTAGCACACCATGCTACTTATTGGTATCTACCCTGCAGGTATCTAGCAGTGGGATGTCACAAACAACATGAGCCTGTGCATATGCTTGACTCAGTACTGGTGCACAGAAAAATCTCACCTACAATGATCCTGCTGTAGTTTGAACATGGAGAGAAGAGGCAGATCCCACAAAGGTAGGTGAAGAATCTGGATTTTTAGCAGTTGATCTCTAGATGCTGAACAATGAATGCATGTAGACAAAAGGAAAAATTACATAATGCTATATACATGTGTTGTTTTGGTGGGGCTGGACAAGGAAGGGTGGAATGCAGCCCTGTGCTTTTTACATGGAAACAAAAGTTTTATAGTGAAGTTAAAGTTGTCTGTGTAAATTAAAGCAGTTACACTGAAGCTTGTCACTGCTTGCTTCAAAATAAATTGGTCATGTAGCCAAGTCCAGATGGGAATGCCTAGTTCACATTGGATTATTTTGCCAAACTGGCAAAATCGTGAAGGTGGTAGTTGGACAGGGACAGAGCTGCTGCCTTTGTTGCAACACAAGCCATCAAATGTGCCTGGTGGATGCACTTTGCCTCCCATTGCCTGGAAGGCTTTGAACTCTTGTAGCTAACTGGAAAGTGGGAAGGGTAAAAGACAATGCAAAGCTGCTCTGAGCTCTTGGAAGCTGTTTTACCTTGGTGACCGCTTGAGAGGTCTTGAGGGAGCTTACAACTGCCTTGCAGTAGCTCTGGCCAGGTCTCAATTGTTCACCTGGAGAAGCAGTTAGGGGAGGAAGTTACTCCTTGTCCACACTGAGCACTGGGGTTGGAAGAGGAGGAGACAGGGAGTCTTGTTTTCCTCTACCCTGAATTGCTGGAAGGAGGATGGAAATATTTGGAAGGAAACAGTCTCCTAGAGACGCTCAACAGGGTGAGTGCTGATCTTTTATTCACTTGCCTGACCTGATCAATAGACCACACTCCAACTGCAGTGAGGGGGCTATGTTTTGCTTTTGGTGACTTCCATCTCAGCAGTTTTAGAATTCAAGGCCTGAATTTGCGCCATAGCCATTATACCAGCCAGAAAAAAATAGCCTTGTTTTCTCCTCTTGATCACTTACTATCTGCTGTCTTCTGAGAGAAATAGAACATTTATTAGGTAACTTCATAGAATCTTAGAACCAGAAGGGACCTGTAAGATTATCTAGTCCAGTCCCCTGCCATGGACAGGAAGTTATTGGGCTCAGACAAACTCAAAAAGGTGTCTGTCCAGCCTCATCTTGAACACCTCCAAGGTGCGTTATTGCACCACCTCTGCTGGGAGTGTGTTCCAGATTCTGGCAACAGAGAAAAAGTTATTTTTTTATGTCCAGCCTGAATTTACCCTCTATAAGTTTATGCCAATTGGTCCTTGTCCTCCCTTGAGGTGTCTTCCTAAGAGTTGCTCCCCTAGATCTTCATGTTCACCTCTGATGTACTTGTAGGCAGCTATCACGTAACCTCTCGACCTTCACTTACTCAGACTAAAGAGGCCCAGTTCCTGGAGTCTCTCCTCATAGGGCCTATCCTCCATGCCCTTGATCATACAGGTGGCCCTTTGTAATCTCTTAAGCTTATCCATGTCCTTGAAGCATGGTGCCCAGAACTGGATACGGTACTCCAGCTGAGTGCCGAATAGAGAGGGAGAAGCACCTCCCTGGATCTATTGGTCACACGTTGGCTGACGCACACCAGAGCTCAGTTTGCCTTTCTGGCAGCTTCATCGCAGCGTCGGCTCGTGTTTTTCTTCAGCTCAACCGTGACCCTCGGGTCTCATTCAGAGGCCGTGCCAGCCAGTGGACCACCACCCATCGTGTACTTGTGAGGATTCTTCCTACCCAGAAGAAGGACTTTGCACTTATCCCTGTTAAACCTCATCTGATTCTGTTCCACCTATGAGTCCAGCCTGTCAAGGTCATCCTGGATCCTGACCCTGTCCTCCAATGTGCCCACGTTTCCCCACAGCTTGGTATCGTCTGCAAACTTAATCATTGAGCTTTCTACCCCCTCTTCCTAGTCATTAGTGAATATTAAAAAGCATGGGTTCAAGCTCCAATCCCTGGGGGACACCACTGAAGACAGCCCTCCAGTATGAGGCCAACTTGATAGAACTACTTTTCTGAGTTCCTGAGCTTATCAAAATTTGAGGTTGTAGGTGTTGAAACAATACTTGGATGTGTAATCTCAAAAAAAAAAAAAAAAAAAAAAAAAAAAAAAAAAAAAAAAAAAGAGTAAAAATGTAAAAGGAAGGTGACCATTTCAATCACTGTTTAAATACTACAGAAAATTAGATCTGTAGAACATAATCTATATATAGAATAAAAGCTATGCCGCAACCATACACTTCGATTTCTGGAACTGTAGCAGAAAGCCCCCTTTCCCTCTTGCCTGCAGTTGCTCTCCCCTCCTTGGATATGTTTTTCCTCTTCTACCTTTTCTTCCTTCCTCTTTCTTTCACTTTAAGAAAAGGAATTGTGTTTTGAAATTTGTGTGTGCGCATTTTGTATCTCCCCTTGTATTTTGTTATTTTTATCTATTTGTGTGCCATGGCATTACATTTGTAGCTTATATTTTATACTCCTCACCTTTCAACTTTCTGTGTTTAGTTTCATAAGTAAGTTATA